TAAATAGCCAGCACCTCTTCAACACGAGGTTGCCGTGCTACAAGGCCATGCACAGACTGTGGCCAGTGTGTTATGAGGGTGGTACACGCACGCGCATGGCCAGCAGCTGCTTGGGCTCAAACCCCAGCAGCAACATGCATCCCGGATCTTGATTAATATAATCCGGGAGTGTGGCGGGGTGGGGCAGCGGGGCAGCGTGGGCGCGTGGCGCGCGCGCGTGCGGCGGCCTTGGCCTTGGAGCTTGCGCGCTCGTGGTGGCGCCTAATTTTTTCGACACGTGTCACCTCCTGCAGGCGTCTGTTTTTCCCGTCGTTTTCACTGAAAAACACCCGAAAAACAGCGAAAAAACCTACTGTCAGGTTTGCTGTTTACTCGGCTGTACAACAGTACGGGGTGGTGGGTGGGAGCGGGGAACGTTCCCGCTCCGATACCAATATAGCGGACCCACCAGATGTGGTGCTCCGCCTGGGCTGAGATGGAGATGGAGGAAGAAGGGGGGAGCGAGATGGCACAACGCAGCTCCCCACGCAAGACTCCAACGCACGTACTCCAAAATGTGCAAGTCAAGAATGAGGACGAAAACAGACAACTGCTGGGGTATACCCCAGCGGACTGACCGGACTGGACTGGACTGGCTGGTACCGACAGAGGTACCGGCCTGGACTGGACTGAACTGGATTGCCTTCGAATAGAACACAGGTCTGTGAGAACAGGCCAAGGGGCTGGTCTCACAGGCCCACCAGAGGTCCGCTACAATAGCCAACCACCGCACACCTTCTTCTTCCTCCATCTTCTTCACCCATCCTCCATAGTCGACCACCTCACAGCTTCTTCCTCCTCCATCCCCTTTACCCATCCTCCATAGCCAACCATCTCACACCTTCTTCCTCCTCCATCTTCTTCACCCATTCGTCATAGCCAAACACCTTGCACCTTCTTCCTCCTCCATCTTCTTCACTCATCCTCCATAGCCAACCGCCTCACACCCTCTCCTTCCTTCATCTTCTTCACCCATCCACCATAGCCAACCACCTCACACCTTCTTCCTCCATCTCCTTCACCCATCCTCCATAGCCAACCATCTCACACCTTCTTCCTCCTCCATTTTCTTCACCCATTTTTCATAGCCAAACACCTCGCACCTTCTTCCTCCTCCATCTTCTTCACCCATTTGCCATAGCCAAACACCTTGCAACTTCTTCCTCCTCCATGTTCTTCACCCATCCTCCATAACCAACCGCCTCACACCCTCTTCCTCCATCTTCTTCACCCATCCACCATAGCCAACCACCTCACACCTTCTTCCTCCTTCGTCTCCTTCACCCATCGTCCATAGCCAACCATCTCACACCTTCTTCCTCCTCGATCTTCTTCACCCATTCTCCATAGTCAAACACCTCGCACCTTCTTCACCCATTCTCCATAGCCGACCATTTCGCACTATCTCCCTCCTCCATCTTCTTCATCCATTCACCATAACCAACCACTCACACCTTCTTCTCCCTCCATCTTCTTCACCCATCCACCATAGCCAACCACC